TTTGTGGGAATTTATTGCAGCTTCGGGACTCAACACATGATTAAAGACCAGCTTTTAATGTACAAACCCTAATATGAGACACTGCAAACCTCAGCGATCCCCCACCAACAAAAATATAATTTAAGCCATTTCAAATCTCTTTCCACTCCAGTATAAAAATTGGTAGCAAATGATCATGAAAGTGTTTGTAATGTAGAGGTGTTACAAGCCCTCTTATGGAAATGTGGACTAAGAAATACCAATAAAAGTAAGATTTATTACCTTCTCAATACTATGTTTCTGTAATACTGATGATCTTAATTTGCTTTTTCATTGACAACTATGGGCAATTTCTCCTTCGCCCTGCCTTCCCTATAGCTTGCCTTTCTGAACAGAAAGACTCTATAGGTTGCCTTATGTGAATGAAATGATTTTGTTTCTGATATCTCCCAGTTGCCTAAGGGTAACTTTCACACTCCTTAGCCAGGCACTGGGCCCTTCACAATCTGGCTCCAGTTTATCTTCCAAGGCAACATCTTTCCTGGCAAAAATAGAAGCTCAGTGAATTGTTATTGGGTAAATGCACAGACCCATGGCTCATCTGTATATGGCTATGCACTCACAGGGGTCTGCCTCTCCCATTAGACCAGACCAGGCTCAGACCTTGTTCATCTTCCCATTTCCAGCAACTAGGAAACAGCCAGGCACACAGTAGGTGCTCAATAAATGCCTATTGAGTAAAGAATGACTCTTTCCACCCCCCAAGCAAGCCATTATTTTAGATAGAAATAACCACATGACATTCGATATATATATTTCTTGATCTTATGAAATATTTTTGTTTCTAGATTGGGAAAACACTAGCACAAAGTCTCTATGTAGTCCAAGGCACCAGCCACTTACAGAACTCATGTGGTAATGAAGAAAGGCCTAGTTTCCTGTGGTTTGACAATAATGTGACAAGAATAGCTTCAACTGCTCTGAATAGGCCATGAACATAACTTGTCCCTCACCACTGAAGCTCCAAACTGTGGGATCCTACTAAACAAGTGTGACCCAGCCCTCAGCCAACCAAGTGCTGTACTTGTGGGTATCCTCATGTGCTCATTGTTTTGCTAGACACTTCAAGGGATTTTAAAATTCCAGCAACCATTTCTGTCCCCGACAATCTTACAGTTGAATTGGAGAGGGAAGGCAAACAGGGGAACGAGAAGGATTTAGCAATGAACAGTGTCTCTCTGGAAATTTAACATCTAAATCACAAAACCCTAGCAGAAGATAGACTTAAAAATGCTATCCACCCAGTCCATTTTTAGATGTCAGGCATTCCTGACAAAGGAGTCTCAAAAGATAACAGGCAAGAGATATCGTGCCCAATCTTCTATGCTAATGGAATATTTGATTGAAAGGCGAAGAATCAGTTGGTTTCCATCAAAATTCACTCACCATCGAGTTTTTGAAAGGATTTGAATGCAATCATTATAGATATATTTGGAAAAAAGTCAACACTAAAGCAAAGAATAGGTCTTAAGCCTCGTTTAGAATTCAAAGCCCTTAGGTCCATCATGTACCCTAAAAACAGAAAAGAATAATTTCAGTTAGATGAAAAGGGCATCTTCTAACTAATGGAGGACACAGAAGGCAGGGACTACTTCTTATTGACCATTGCATCTCTGTGGCAAATGAAATACCTGGCAGGTACTGTGCAATCAATAAATATCAGTGGGGTGAACTAATGATCCAGCGCTCTGGCTTCATAATATGGAGTTAGCCATAAGTATTGATTCTGATCAGCACAACCAAGGGCAATGGCAAATTAGTGTTCAAAGCTCTTTGAATATATTTTTTAAAAATATATTTAAAACTGTGCTCACATGACATTCACCTGTGCAAAAGGATCCCAAAGCAAACCTGTTAAATGAAGTCTCCATCAATTAAAGGGAAACAGTATATATTGACACCCTAATATGTGTTCATTACTATGCAAGTCACTTCTGAACAGAGAAAGAAGAGTACACGATGTATGCACACAAGGAATATAGCAGGCACAGACACTGCTCACAAAAATTTCAGAAGCCAGGGGTAGAGAGGATACTAGCACTTCAATGTGACTAGAGAGATAAAAGGCAATTCAAGTGTCCAAGGAGAACATAAACCAAGAAAATACAGGGTTTAGAAACTTTTTCTTCTTAGCTTACTTCCTTATATATCTGTGCTTTAAATTTGTAATTTGTCCCCTTTTCCTTACATGTAAGTCAAATCTAGTCCCACATTGCCATGTTTAATTCTCTTGGATTGCAGTGTAAGCCGCTCTTGAAAGTGGAATCTAAAAGTGAGCATTTTGGGGTGGTGATGGGGAGGGTCTTTTTATTATTTTCTAGCTAGGCCAGTGAAGGCTACTAGGGTAAACGAAGCGTTAAATGCTTTTGACGTTATTAAACAATGTTTTAAGTTTACATTCTTGAATTAAGAAAGACTCGAGGTTTTTTATTTTTATTTGTTGGCTATAATGTTGTTTCCAAAATGCACTGTTCTTTCTAGCAAGCATGAGATTGGCTCCATACCTTTAGAAGTAATACAGAGTTATTTTATGTTTATGTTTTGAGGAATTAGATGCTTCTTTTTGAGAAATAAACAGATCTTCCTTGTACATTTAAAGGAGACAATATCTAATTCTGATTATAATGAATGTGAGAAGCCCCACACAGCAGAGAGGCTCAATGTTTGTTAAGATTTTTAATGTTCCCCTCGCCCCCATCCAGGCCCAAAAACTGTGTTGTTCTCCTGAAAGACTAAAACAGCTTTAGAATTCCATCCATTGGAAGACTGGAAACATGGCTGTAATGGTTGAGAAATTTGCAAGACTTGCAAAATGTAGCCGGCTTGTTCCCAGGGTTCTTCAGTGAGCCTCTCTTTATTTCCTCTATTTTTGCTTTATTCGTCTTGATCAATTTAAAATTTCACAGAAGCCCCAGACAAAACTGTGTGACCCTCAGCACTTATTTAAGTTCCCTCAGCCTCTTTCCTCCTGGGGGAGGGACACAGTCACAAATGCCATGGCTAGGGTCTCCTTCGATCAGAACATTCTCTCATTCTAATGGTAAACCTGATGTCCCCTTTGTATTTGTGAAAAATGCTGTCGACTCCAAACTCCTACATAGCAGGAGCATAAATTCCCACAGTGATTCATAAATACCCCCAGCCCTTCTGGGAAGATTCTCTCTTGGGAAAAATAAAGAATCCCCCATCACATCAAAAAGAATGTAGCCTCTCCCATGCCCATGTGCGGCAGCTAAGCGTACAGAGTGTGACATGGGCCGAAGCTTCTGAATTTCCCCATCCCACACACCAAGCAGCCCGAATTCAATCATTACCAGATTTTTAGTTTAATTTTTTTTTTCTGCTACGTTTCAGCTTTAATCCTCCCAGGAGAGAAAGGTCTTCTCTTCCGTCACTTGATCTCATGAATCACCCCTTTCTTTAAATGCTCTTTAAACTGAGGAGCACTGGAGTTGCGTTCATTTCTTAAAATCTTCTTTCACCTTTGCATTGTTTGAAAAAGGTACAGAGCAAAAAACTTCGTGAGACTTGGGTCTGTTTGTGCCTTGGGCATTTTCACGGTGCCCGCACCCTTCCTTATAGACAAGAAAAGGAACTGCAGGGCTCTAGGCCGGTCCCCATCTTGAGATGGCTCCCAGAACCTTTGTGCTCACTCTAGTCTTCCCCACGGAGCAGGCCATGGCGATTCGGGTTTTGCAGCGGCCTTCGAGCAGCGGGTGCACACCCCTTGCCTTGCAATTCAGAGCAGGGCTTCTAGGCGCCTGTCAAGCCTGATTGTCTAAACCACAGGTAAATGGTTTCCTGTGCATTTCTCAAAACAAGAGTTGAGCGAAGGAAACGAAATCAACCTGTTTAATAACGATCAACAATTTTCCCTCCCCTGCCCCTTCATAAAGGGTATTTTCATAAGTAGGGTTTTTAGGGAAAAAAAGTTTTAACTTCTTGCACATTTGCGTTGTAAATATTAGCTTTTGCAGAGATACTGGGTGAACTAGCATTCTTCAGTGCTGTTGTCGCGGCCTAGTAAAATTGGCGCTCGCATTTTTTAAATATCTGCACCCTTCCTTACAGAACCGATGAATTCATTTAAAGACCTTTGATAAGACTGGCGTTTTTATCTTTTTACTTTTAAAAATTGATCCGTTATTCTCCTCTCTTCCACATCAAGTGGCCAAAATTAAGGGCTTTGCTTTTACCAACCAGTAAAGATTAAGTACTTCAAATGATTGAGAAGTTACCGAAGACTCAAGAAAGGCAAGACCTGGATGTGAGCCAATTCATTCCCGCTGGATTTAAACTTAATACAAATTTCGCCTTCTGCTAGCGTCCATTAAACCCAACAGATCTAATAAGTATTCTTTAAATCCAAAGAATGCTCATTATCCAAATGAAGAGAATTCAATAAATTTAAAATCATATGCATGACAAGTATTTATATTAATTTTAAATATTGAATTCTAATGAGAGATCAGCCACCAGACAATTGAGGATGTCCTAAATTTCTTTTTAAAGCTGCTATTTAAAATGTAGTTTCTACTTTTACCTGAAAAGACTGCTTAAATTCTATTGTCAATGCTAGTCATTGGTCAAATAACCAAGTTCAATGTGCTGCCTGAAATAAGATACTCAACTGTAAATTATCACCTTTTCTCGAGCATGTGCGATAAATTCGGTGTTGGCTTATCAAAACCCATAGAAGTTAATTAAGAACTGCAAATATATTTTTATTAAAGTTCTCATATAACTCACACTATGAAAATTCGGCCTAGGAAAATGATCTCCCAATTACCTAGTGTGGACAAGGTATTTCACATACCCGGGTGAAACCCACTTCGATGCCCTTAGGGGATTTACCAAATCACCAGATACCTACCACTTATTGCTCCCCAGTGGACCAAGAGGCAGACCTCTTTGCAAAGGGTTGCTCAGCGAATAAACCACTCCTTCCAGACACCAGCCACGTTTTAAAACTTTTTATTTGCATATTAAAAAAATTGTGCATTCCAATAATTAAAATCATTTGAACAAAAAAAAAAATGGCACTCTGATTAAACTGCATTTTACAGCCTGCAGGAAACCTTGGGCCAGCTTGGTTTTATTCTAAGATTTCACTGTCGTCCCACCCCGCTTCTTCCTTCACCAACATGCAAGTTCTTTTCCTTCCCTGCCAGCCAGACAGGCAGATGGGAGAGGCAGGCTCGGCCTTCGTTGTCAGTAGTTCTCTTGATGAGAAAGGGGCAGCACAGTCATTTAAACTTGATCCAACCTCTTTGCATCTTACAAAGTTAAACAGCTAAAAGAAGTAAAATAAGAAGGCAATGCTTGTGGAATGTACAGTGCATATTGGCGGCGCTCGCCTCATTACGACTCGCCTGCTTGCTTCTCCTGTTCAATCGCTGTGACCGGAAAGAGAAAAGAAAAAAAGATGGTGGGGCTAAGATTCAGTGCAGCCCAGTATGAGGTTAAAGGACTTGCTTTTAAAACATCTTTTCATATCATAAACATATTCCAAGTGCATCTACGCACTCCACAATTAAATAAAATACATTGAACAGAAGTAGATAAATGTATCTTAAGATTACATATTAAATATGCCATTACTAAATTACCAAAGCCCTGTGTTTGCTGGCTGCAAAACAATTTTTAATTAACCTTTCCAAGCCACATTCATCACCAACTGTCGGCTCCTCCCCCGCACCCCCACCCGCAATCCTCCCCACGGCCCGTCCCAGCCACCCTCCCTGCCTTTTCTAAAGATGGGGGGGTCGAAGCTTACTTTCTTTGGAAGGCAGTGGATTTTTCTCTTGCGTTTCTGTCTTCTTCAATTTCGACTTGTCGAATTTCTCGATCTCAGCCATATCGGGCTTGTCAGACATGGTTGCGGAGAAGCTGCAAGGTACAAAACCAAGCGGAGAGTGAGAACGCGCCACCCGCCCCCCCCTTCCGTTCCCATTCAGGGCTCAACATCTTCCTCCTTCTACAAAGAGAAAAAAAAAAAAGACCCCCCCAACCCCATATTTCAAAACGCAGGAGACCAAAGAGGGAAGATCCCTTTCCCTCTCAAGGCCGAGTCTTTCAGAATGAGAAAAGCGACCACTGCGGATTGCTAATTGCAGCGTTTAAATATTAAAATCTGGCTAGAACGAGTGGAGAATTGCAAAACCGCTTCCAAATTGAAGTGGGAAAAATCGGGTACAAATCCTTAAAATGGAGGCAAGGTCGCAAAAAGCGTGTCCATTTTGTACATGTGGTCTCGCCCCCAAAATGCGGCCCTGTCCCGCTTTCCCCCTGCTCGCACAAAGGCGGCAGCTGCCGGGAGCTACGGACCACCGCCCCACCCGCTTCCTCGCCCTCGCCCAACAATGCAGCCCGCGGCCACAGGGCTGCTCCCCACACCCGCCACGCAGCCCTGATCCGCATTGGCGGGCAATCCGCAGCCTCTGCACACATCCCCCTGCAAGCAGCACTTCAAAAATGTCGCACCGTAGCCCGGGACCTCAGCCTGGGCAGAGCCGGCCCTGCAGGCCCCCGGAGGCTGGGGACGGAGAGCCCCGGCAGCTCCGGGCTCGGCTGGATGTTCTCCAGAACAAAGGATCTCTCTGTTCCTGATCGATCGCAGCCTCAGAGGCAATGTGCAATGCCTCTGCAGGGGAAAAACTAAGCAAGAAAAATGTCCCCTCGAAGCTGCACGGCAAAACGCCAGATTTGGGGGGTTTGATTTCCTGGGTTTTTAAAAAAAATCACCGAATCCCCGACCCCATGATCCAGCAGCTGGAGGGTTTAGCATCCCCAGTTCCCCAAGGCAGCTTTCCCCGGGCGGCTCGGGCTCGGCTTTTGGGATGCCGAGGAGCAGGCGCGCAGCGGGCAAGGGACCCGAGGGCGTGGGGCAGGAGGCAGGGGCCCTGGGGCTCACCGGAGCGAGGCGCGAGTCGCGAGAAAGAAGAAACCGATCTGCGCAGGGACCACCGCCGAGTGCCGGGCGGGGCGCGGCGAGCGCCGCTATATGGGCGCCGCTATGTAAATGAGGTGACGTCATCCGCAGGGCCGCTTAACTCCTTCGCGCCGTGCCGCGGCATCGGCGTCCGCCGGCCGGTCCCGCGTTTGAGGCGCCCCCGCCCCACCCCCGCAGGGCGCAGCCGTGCGCCCTGACCGCGGCGATAGCGAAAAAGAAAATGAGCGAAAGCCCGCCCTCCATAACCCATTTTCCTCTGTTGTTTGTTTTATTATAGCGAATTTTTGCAACAGCAGCGCAAATCTGCTCTCGGGGACCAGGGCCTGATAACTGAGGGTGTGCGCGCACCTAGGGGAGCAGGCATTCCTTCACTGCGAAACTGGCTTTGTCTGCTGCAGACATCCCGCGCTAGGGCGCGGCGTCCCTCCCCGGAGGGCCTCTCCCACTGCAGGGCGCGATTCCTGTGACTCAGCTTTCCACCAGTGGAGGGCATCTGCCCCACCCGGCCCTCTTTGTCTTCCTCGCGGCGTTCACCTTGACTTGCGTGGAAGGAAAAGCTCCCTTACCGGATTTTTAAAAACGCTTTCAGCACTGTAACATCCCTGTTTTTTCATTGCTGTAATTTTTGTGAGCACTCAAGTCAAATAACCGCGCTGGGTGTAGGGTAATTTATCTGGAGTACATAAGAGTACAGTGCCTCCTTCTTAGCCAAATAAGTCAAGTTCAAGCTCTGCTATTGATTTACTGGCTGACAATGAGGAAGTTCTTTACCTTCCTGTTCCTTATTTTCATAAATTATGAAAGTGATTGCTAAGGAGGCCTTTGCAGAATTCTAAAGACTACAGTCCCATTATCTCTAATATCCTAAGATTAAATTCAAAAATCAAACTCCATGTTTTGAAGGGAGCGTTTTCAGCACTAGGGCGTCTCTGAAGTGCATCTGGAAACACGAGGAGATTCAGGTAGAGAGGAGCTGTTTGCAAAATGGCACCTGGCTCTGTGAGTACCAGTGACCCACTTGCTTTTGAAAATTAGTTACAAATACCATGCCGCGCGCCTGCACGAGGAGGCGTGAGGAAAACAAGAGACCCACCGGTTAGAAGGAGGCCTAGTTTTGATTATTTCTAAGAGACGCAAAGCAGTGTGCAAAATACTCCTTCTTTTCTGCTTCCTGAAGAAATGTTTGCAGAAACCCCTTGCTAATCATTTTCTTGGCAGAGAGGCTTTTGTCTCACTGGGAATTCAAGTCAACTGTTCCATAGACCCATATATGCCACCGCCCGGCCAGGCACGCTCAGCTTGGACTTCCCCGTTTCTTCATCTGCTTGACTTCCTTTTTACTGAGGAGGAAGCGGTGGGGGTGGGCAGTGGGGGTGGGCAGAGGCAGGTGATCGTCTGGGCCCCAGTTAATGCCGTGCTGGGTGGCTGACTTCCTGCCCTCTGAAAGGGGCACTGGACTTGTTGGAGCATGCATCGGATGTCACCTCTCTGGTAACACATCCCCCCACCCCCCTTCCTATGTTGACCCTCCTGGGAGCCCACTTCATTGTCGAAACACAGGAAAGACCTTGCAGGGTGACTTTTCGCCCATTCAGCTGGCAGCTGCAGTCCTATTGACACCATTTCTATAGGTTCTGGGATCCCATTGCCCCTCACCTGGCTGCTGTGAAGAACCCTTTCTTTCCTTCCAGTGTCTCCTGATGACAAAGGAATGCCACTGCCGTCTCATTGCTGCTTCTCCCAAGGGCTTTTTCCTTAGAGAAGCTTAGGCCTTACAGGAGCAATGTCTCCAAAGGAGACGGAGGAGTGAATATTCGTAAACATCTGGGGAAGTTTTCCAGTCTGGTAGCAAGCAGCCTTCCACTGTGCTGAGATATTGACAGGGAGAGGGTAGGTGGACAGACAGCGGGGAAGGGAAATAGAGGGAGGCAACTTGCCAAAAGGAAAAGACCCTCCCATAACTGGGCTTGCCTGCCCACTGGTCAGGAGACCTAGAGAGGATGGAAAGGGAAGAGTGAGGCAGCTACAAAGAAATGCAAACAACAGGAATGGTTTTAAAAGTTGTGTGACTCTGTTCATGTGAATTAATCTTTCTGTGCCCCAGTTTCCTCATCTGTAAAATGGGCTCATTGCAGTACTTACCTTACAGGGTTGTTGGGAGGATAAAATGCTTGGGATAGTACGTGACAATTAGTAAGCTCTTTGGATTGTTAGTGTTATTTAGGATGGAAAGTTGGGGAAAAAATAACAATAAGTATTTTAGTGTTTGGAATTAATTAAAAATTTTAGATGTCTTGATATTATTTCTCCTATAAAGAGAAATTTATATATCTCTCTTAAAATAGTGCCCCATAAAATAGTACCAGTATAGCCTGCATTGAAGCATTGTCCCCTTCCAAGCCCTGTGCCCAGTAGAATCAGGAAAAGATGTCAGCAGATACCGTGTTTTATTTTGCTTTCCAGGGTGGGCCTGGCATAGAATTGTGGCTATTTCTAGCTGTGGGGAAACAGCCATTGAAGTCTGAGTTCATAAAAATTAATTCTATTATTTTTAACCTGTTTAATTTTGTGCAGAGAACTTACCAGAAAAAGAGGAGAGGTAGAGGAGGGACAGAACAGGGACAGCAGCGAGACTCCCAACTCTTTGCTTTCCCCAGCCCACGCCCCTTTGCCTGGGTTTCAGGGCCTCCTACCCTCTGCCCCAGCCGCCTGCAGCCCATGTTCCCCTGTGGCTCCTGCGATCTCCACCGCTTCGTCCTGAGCTCCCTGGCAGCACAGCCCTCCTTCCACTGATCAGAATCCAAATCCTCTGAAAGACACCGCCTGGGTACTCCCTTAATGACAAAGAGAGGAAAGGAGCAGGGAGGGAAAGCATATTTAGTGGACTAGCTCTGTCTCCTACCTTCAGCTGAGCCCTTTAGTATGATATCTGATTCAAGTCTCACTTTATTAATTCCCACCTACATTAGTGGGTACTAATATCCCCATTTCACTGCTAAAGAAACTGAGGCTCGGAGAATGTAAGCGACTTGCTGGAAGTCAAACTCCCAGGGCTATTGTCCAAGTGCTTCCACTGGGGCCCATCTCTGCCTTACGTTTAGCTGGAAGGCGTCTTTCTGCAGGACTCCCCCCCATGGCAGCCACACGTGGAGGGAACAGAAGTCTCCCCTGTGAGAGTGAGAAGAGTGAGTAGAAGATAACAGGAAAGCAAAGAGGAGGGAAAGCACAAGGGGAATGCCAGGCTACTAATTGTCCTGTTCGCTTGTGGATCTGATGGAAACTTAGAGGCAAGAAACAGAAAAAGGGATCTCCTTCAACCCCGGTTCCCTGCTGCGGCTTGAATTCGCCTCTACAACATCCCCTCCAAGTGGTTACTCGGCCTCCGCACAGCCAGGGGAACAATACGAAGGCTGAGTGACGCAGGAGCAAGGAGTAGCTTAGTTTGGTGAGTGCTTGCATAGAATGAGGGAAAGCAACAGGAAATCATGTTGGGAGACAGGCAGGGCCCAGGTTGCAGAACAATAATAATAACAACAATCATGGCTGTAATAACAGCGATAATACCAGCAAATATGTTTTGAGTGCTTACCATTTACGTGTTCCTCCCTGTGTGAGGATTATGTCTCTGCATAATCCTCACACAAGCCTGTGACAGAGACACCATCAATTTCCTTATTTTGCAAATGCAGGAGTTGTAGAGCAATTAAATAACTCCCCCAAGAACACACAGTGAAATCCAGAGGCAGGGTTCAAACTCAGACTGGCTGGCTCAGAAGCCACCTCATTGAAACACTCCGCTTTTGTAGAATGCTAAGGCCTTTAGACTTTGTTCTGTAGGCCACATGAGGGTAAAGTTGATTGATATTCCATCTCAATAAACCATCTAGTGTTTCCATCATCAAAACTTTTAAACATAGATATTGTAATAACATATCATATACATGAAAAATTTGCCTGCCCCAGTTTTCAAATTGTTTCACTCCAGAAATTCAGTCTGCCCTTTTTGCCTCCTCCTACGTAGCCAGGGCACTTGCAATAGAGGGAGTTCTGTAACCTGAGCATTGGTAGTTTTCCTCAGCTTTTCACCAGTTTAATATTTTTCCCAGTAGTCATGCATATTACAGTGGTTAAAAAAAAATTACAGTAGGGTTAAATAACATTGAAAGGGAGGCATTTCATATTCCCAATGGCATTTTGTGTTAAAAATGATAAACCTTTTATTCCACTGTGAAGCAGAGATAGCATTAGCAATCATATGTGTGCATATATTTTAATGGGCTTCTTCTATGGGTATCAAAGCTTTTTTTATAAAATGTAGTTCCCAGACCATCAGCAGAAGGTGGTTAATGGCTTTGTGGTAAGGAAAATGAAGTGCAGGGAATAGACAACGGGCTCAAATTTGAGGAGAAAGCCCAGGTAGGCCAAGGTCAACCTCCTTGGCTGGCCCTGACCATTTGACCTCTCCAGGGCCAACTTTACAGGTGCACAGCCTGTGCAGCTGCCTCTGGCCCCCCACTCGGAAGGGCCTGGTGCTTGGCTTAATGTTCTGCTGCCACCATTTTGAAATTCTTAATAGTGTTGAACAAGGGCCACACATTTTCATTTTGTGCTGTGTCTCCCAAGTTATGAAGCCAGTTCTACCCCTCTCAGACTCTCATTCCCTGTGTCCCTCTGGTGCCACCGTCTTTTCCTGGACCCAGGAATGGGCCCATCTACTCATGTGTTCCCTCTTCTGCCTATAATGCCTACCCAGATCACACCCACAATACTTCCCAGGTGTGGAAACTTCCTGTTCTTCTTGGTTCAGTTAAGAAAGTGGTGGCAATTTTCAAAAGGGCTTTGTATTAGGAAACTAGAGGAAAAGACATTTTAAAGCACAAAAACAAATGGGCTTCTTAATCACACTAGAGTCTAAATGTAGATTGACTTGACTGGCACAGCTTCTAGGCTACAGGGTTTGGTTCCTCACCCATCCCCGGCCCAACTGGGAGGAGGTGTGGATACCAGACCAAGGTTCTCAGACCTCTGGCTCCAGTACCACCAGTGGCACCAATGCCAGCGTTGGAGGAATTCCTCATCCTTCCCTCAATTTTCTCCCCAGTGGAGGCCACCCTTGTTGACCCAGGGCTGGGCCATGCTTGTGCACAGCAGACAACCCCAAGACATCTTTGACCTCTGTGAGAAAGAAACTTCCCTACAGGATGTCCAGTGGTTCCTTTTTGGGGTTCCTTGACTGTCTTGCCCTGACTTTGCAGCTGAGATTTTCAGCCCTCTTGGAAGTTTCTCAGGCTCTTGACCTTTAACCCCTTCCGTGTGCTGATGCATCAGTCTGAGTGTGGGCACAGGATAGCTCAGTCCCTTCGCCCCCTGCAAAGCTTCCATCTGAGCCTAGTTGCCCTTGGAGCTGGTGGCCTGGGGCCGTCACCACCTTTTTATAGGGCCTGTGTGAGGTGCACACACCAGTTCTCTTCTCTTCCTTTCCGCCGGGTTATTTTTTTCTGTCTGAGGAAGGCCTGCAGCTCTCAGCTTACTTATGCATTGGAATCGAATGGTTTGTACCGTGGCCAATGAAGGAGCAAGCCTTCAGCAGCATGTCCAGCTGCTTCCCTGGTTCTCTCTGATGTCTGCACTCACAGGCGCCTTGCCGGGGGAACAATTCCATCCCATAGTATTTCACCCTTGTATTTACTTTGCACCTAAGGTAAACAGAACAGACACAATTTCCACCAAAGCAAGAAGAGGAAGATGTCATCCTCTCACACAATGGCCAAACACAGGGCAAATGAATGCACCAGGAAAAGAACACTTGAATTGCAGTTTTACACTGTGCAATTTATAACAATTTATTATCTCAGTTGGTAAAGATGATGTGCACAGCTGAGATCCATAGACACTACAATTCCCAAATCTCACTTCAGCTAATAGATTCAACTAAAGATTTTAGAGTTAATCATAGTCTTCAAAAAGTTAAACATTGCATTATCATATGACCCAGCAAT